GAGGCCGGGGCTGAGGCCGGGGCTGAGGCCGGGGCTGAGGCCGGGGCTGAGGCCGAGGCTGAGGCCGGGGCTGAGGCCGGGGCTGAGGCCGGGGCTGAGGCCGGGGCTGAGGCCGGGGCTGAGGCCGGGGCTGAGGCCGGGGGGCCGGGCGGGCGGGATGTTAAAGTGAAAAGTCTGGGGCAGCCCTACGGAAGGTGATAGAATGGCAAATTCCTACCGGATGCAAGGGAGGGAGCCGCTGGGTGCCACGACGAGGGGAGGAGGGGAAGTAGTGTGGTGGTTGGTGGGGGTGCAAGTTTGGTGTTCTTGGAAAGTCCCCGGGATCATGATATCGCCGGTACCGGCGGGTCCTTGCCCAGAGCCACCCCTCTCCCGTGTCACAGTCACGTCGATAACACGTTTTCACCCCGCTACCCCAACCCAAACCCCGCTCCTTTTAGCCCTCTTTCCGCTTGCTTTCGATGCCACGTTAACGTAGTACTCGTGTGGTTTCTGCCCGAAGGAAGACTAAATTCTGTTTTGGTTATCCTCACCTAGAACAATGAAAAGTTGTAGGAACCATCTCATGGTCTTTCAGGGATGACCATAAAATATTAAGACAACGATCCGCTAGTGGTGTAAACTGCATTCTTGGTTGCTACACCCGTGCTATCGTTGCCTTAACCATATTTTATATGGTTGTCCGTGCAGGAACCATACGCTGGTTGCAACAACTTTTCATTTTTTCTGAATGCTGACAAAATGTTGCTCTTTTGGCAAACGTCTGCGGCAACGCAACGGGCAGTCGGGGCAAACGAGTCAGTTTCGCAAACGGTGTGTGTGCCGGGCGGAATGTCACTGCGATGAGCGGCTGGGCTGCTGATGAGGGGGGCTGGAGGCAATTTCCGGACTGTCGGGAGCAACCTCGCACAACGCGGGGTGGAGCAGGTCGGGAACATATGCCCTGCAACTCGAGTCCCCAACGCATCACGCACTAAATGTTCTCTTTTTGTGCACGCAGTGTGCATGCAGTTTTTATTTTATTCACACACTAAAAGCTTATGAACATTTTTTTTCATAGTTACTGAGTTATGTAAACATGCTCGGCTTACGCATTTTTTAATGCGCCAGTATGAAGAAATTTGTGCATACTGGTGTATTGAAAAATGCGTAAGCCGAGCATGTTTACAGAACTCAGTAACAATGAAAAAAAAAGTTCATAAGATTTTAGTGTGCAGATTTGCACCTAATTTTGTTTGTTCTCGCGACTTTTCAGTGTCGTCGCGCGTGTATTTAGTTCACTGCGTCCTGTGCGGAAGTTGTGCTGAGTTGTGGGCTGAAGCGTTTTCTCCCGTTGACAAGCCATTTAGCCTGCCTGATCCAGGCCTCTTTTAGTCCCTCTCATTGAACCCCCGTTAAGAGTGTTTCGTGTCGGCCCGGGGGGGGGGGGGGGGGGAGCCGAGGTGGAGCGTCGTCACCCTCAGTCGGCCTGACATCCGCTTCCTGTATAGCCGACTTCCGGTCGGCGTGCGCCAGAGCTAGAGGAGGTGTGGGTGGAGCTGGGAGGAGGCCCCCGCGGGGACTGAAGTTGGGCCGGATGAGGAAAAATGGCTCGGCTGCTGGGCGCGGACTGCGCGGCATCTCTACGCCTCCCGCTCGCACCATCCCTGGGAGGCTAGCAGTGACGAGCCCTAACCGCCTCCGATCGCGTGTTTTTAAACAAACTGGTCAAGGGTCGGTTATACCAGCCATTTCCGAGGAACCATGGATTCATTTAGGAGTTATCACGAATAGTTAACGTTTCTCTTTTTTTACAGGGGTAGTAGCAATGGATCAGCTGCCAGACGACTTGCAACGGGCACTAGATGACCTGCCAAATGACCTGCCGGACGACTTACTACTGGACCGGCTTCCGGAAGACGTGCTGCTGTCTGTGATGATGTACATGGACGTACCGAGCCTCTTGCGTTGCCGCCTTGTGTGTCGGAGGCTGGGTACCCTCGCGCTGCACCCGGACGTATGGCGACACAGAGAGTGCGTGGATAGCGACCCTTGGTTTTGCGCGGCACTACGCCTAGCGCCGCGTCTGTACGAGATGCACGTTAATCTTCCTCTCCCCGAGGCCCTGCGCCGGCTGGTGTTGGAGACCGCGTGTCCCGTGACATGCTTGGTTGTTGTGTTAGGCGACGATGAGGACGATAGCTATGTCGCACAAGCCGCCCAGCTCATCCGGCACCAGAGCGGGCTCGGACAGCTGAGAGGCGTATATGTGCGCTTCTCCCAACATGAAGCGGCTCTCCTGACGGCTCCCATAGCGTCGGAGCTGTTTGGGACCCTGATGTCTACGCCTGATCTAGCTCAAGTCTCAATCGTGAACAGGATCCCTGAATCCCGCTTTCCCGTTGACATCAGCATCCCCGCGCCGCAACTTGCCATCGCACCATCATTGACGTACTTCGAATGCGTCCCCATGTCCCCAGGGTTAACGGACCTCTGTGACTTGATGCTGACTAGGAACGCTGCCACCTTGGAATCGGTTTCTATATACCACAGCCTCACCTTGCGTACGCCCTCGGCGATGTGTGCACTCGGCCAGATGCCCCGCCTCGAGTATATGGCCTGCGACACGTTCGACGGGATGCACGCCGTGGCGGCGTGCCCGTCGCTGAGGAGCCTCGATCTCACCGTATGGCACGCTGCTGGGTCGGTTACCGCTCCAGAAGATGCCACCGAGCTACTACGCTCCGCCCACCAGCTCACTAAGGTTGTTTTGTATTACACTTCCCATGATGGCTGTGACGTCCAACTGATCACGGCCTTGGCCTCATCCGGCAAGTCTCGCCTAGAGAGGTTGAGTGTCACGGACTACGGGAACCCTGACGGTTCGTTGCCGCAGCTGCAGGAGCTGCTCCGCGCGCTGCCTGGGCTGCCCGCTCTGCGCAAACTGGAGGTGCGCACGGAGACGAAAGATCTTCAGCTAGACGTGGGTCCCAACACGGCTGAGGAGCTGCGGAGCCACTTCATTTAGGACCCGAGAGCGTGAGGCGGTTCATCAATTAACTTACCGTGCGCCCGCTGCCTGTCCTGTTTGAGCTGTTCTTAGCTTTTCTTATGATGCCATTTTTATTTTGTGTATTTTGTTTTACTCTGTGCAGCACAGTAAATTAAACTATGACTCATGCCCCATTGTGAGTAAACCCTTTTTACCTCTTTCTCCTGCGTTGCCGTTTTACAAATCGTTTGATTTTAGCCCAAGACGAGTTGCTGATTGTCAAGCGTAGCGTGGGACACCCTCGAAACTCCCTTACGATTGGTGCACACGCTGTGCGCTCTTGAGGGGGCGAGGTACAAATATCATTTGACCAACTCAGATGGTTCAGACTGGACCACAACAACTCATACACGGTCAATGATATGATGCTTTTACCCCCGGGGTATAAATATGCCATGGGTCCCCTACACATGTAAACGGTAGGATGGCGAGCAGTTTATAGGGTGCAGTGCAGCGCCGTGGCCGCGATGGCTTTCTGGGTGAGACGTGGGCGGGAGGGATATGGTGGGAGAGGGTCGACGGTGCGGGGGCGTAGTGTAGTGTGGGGGGCGTGAGCGAGACGGCACGAAACTCTCCACCGCTGGAGGTCAACCCTATCCGCCGACCCACTTGTGATTCTTGCAACACTGCTCCGCAAGTTAGAAGCCCTCTGCTTCGCCTCGATGTGTGATCAGAGTTGGGCAGGAGGGGGGGGGGGGGGTCTGAACGATCAGCCAGGATATAACCCCCCACCCCCCTCCGCTAGCAGGTTCACAGCATCGGGGCCGGGGTCGTGCGAGCAGGCCGAGCAGGGCATGCAGCTTAACGCTTCTGCCATATCTGCACAACAAAAAAACAAAACAACTTGCTGCTAACTTTGTTTGCGGATCGTTTTAATTAGACGATGCGTTACCATCTAGCGCACGCGTGTGGTGCTGTCTCGTGGCCTCTTGCCCCACCACCACCGGCCTCCTGCTCCGCCACGGCCTCTGCTGGCCCGCTGCCCTTCCCGCCCGCACCACGCGCAGCAGCATATTAAGCGCACAGCCGTGCCGGGAACGCTAATCCGCAATACCATTCCTCCGGACGGGACGCGCGCCCCGACAAGGCCGAGGTCGGGTCGGGCCGGCCGCACGGCCGCTCAGCGCAGCCAGCTCAGCACGGCGGGCTCGCAGCGCGGCCAAGGTGCGGAAGGAAAGGAGATGAAATATGAGACGCGCAGCCGAGCGGAGCCGAGCCGGGGATGATAAATAATGCAAAGGCTGGCCGGGGATTACCGAAGGGTCGTGTTGCGCCGCGCCGCCCAATCTCGCGCTGCCTATCCGCGCCGATGACGGCCGAGGCGCTCAGCGACTGATGTGCTGAGGGCGACTGGTGTGCTGAGCGGCCGAGGCGCTGAGCGACAGAACGGTCGAGTCGCCGAGAGGCCACGCGGTCACGCTGTGCGAAATGGGCGAAGGCTGAACTGCTGAGCGGCTGGACTAGCTGGACGCTGGATTGATGTTCTTCCCTCATCAGTACCACGCTTGACACGCACATGAATTTCAACGTGTGTGTGTGTGTGTGTGTGTGAAGGAGAGAGAGAGAGAGAGAGAGAGAGAGAGAGCGAGCGAGCGAGCACATGTCGGCTTGTAGAAAGCTCGGGCTCGGGTATGGTTCTTTAGCGCCTGCGGATGACCGGGTAGGCACCACGGCAGTGTTTCCCGCCGTTGCGGGTTGGCCTACCCGCCGGGCGCTTCCCGCCGGCGCCGCGCCGCTTGTGGAGGCAGTCGTGTGTGTGTGAGTGAGAGAGAGAGAAAAGCAGACTTTGAGCACGCACACTCACAACACCCTTTGCCCTCCAAACGCGCACCCCTCAAAGGCGCAGAGTAAACACACACACACGCACACCTGCGAGGCTATGGCCCTCATCCTGACCACTGTGACAACATGGCACAGAGAGAAGAAGAGTGGGGGGGGGAGGGGCCCACCCGCCCGAGGAGGGTTTGTGGATGTCTTTTCGCAGGTCGCCCTGCCCCGCCACGCCCCGCCACGCCCCGCCCCGCCTCGCCTTAGAGGGAGTGGCGGTGGGGCGGCGGCGCCAGCCAAGCCACACCGCGGCGCGCTCCCCGACGCCAGCCGTGGCGCCTCGGCTCACCCCGCGGGGGGCCCCCGGGCGGGTACACGGGAGGAACGGGATCGACGGGTGAGCAAAGGGGCCCCGGAGCAAGGCGGGCTGGGAGCGAGCAACGCGGGCTGGGAGCGAGCGAGCGCGATGGGTGTGGGGGAATTGAAACGCGGACGAAGGCGACCGAGAGGGGCGGAGGATACGTTCTAGGTGAGCGAGCGAGAATAAGTAAACCTTGGCGGAGCGAGAAGGGTACGAGCGAGCGACGAGCGAGCAAAGGCGAGAGCGAGTGAGCGGGTGCGAGTCCGCCCTCCTGCCGCCGGTGGAATTCAATTTATATACGGTGCGTGCTGCAGCCCCTCTCGGCGGCGTCGCCTTGCCAGACGCGACGGTGAGCGAGACTCGAGTAAATCACGCTGCGGGTAAAATGTTAAAGCCTTTCGCCGCCCTCAGACGTGTGGTTGTTTAGAGCGCCTCTCCTCGACTCTCCCACGCTCCGCGCTCTCCACTCCGCCAGACGCCAGCTCACCTTTGCGGGCCCCCGCGTCGCCTTGACTTGACTACCTTTGTGTGTGTGAGGGAGACAAACGGGGCCGAAGGAAAGAGGGAATATATATGAAGAAGTTGCTGCCGCTTTGAAATTTATGTGTTACTTGATTCTATAAAAGACGGTTTTTTCTTACTGGTTTGAAAATTGTTTTCGCACTTTTTTTTTGTGCAATCTGAGTATGAAATTAATAATTTTCGTTCTTGAAAAGGGCAGCAGGGCAGGGCGCCCTCACCCTCACCAGACCCAAGATCGTATTTCTGCAGTCTGCTTTACGTACCGCGTTACACCTGCCAACATACCTGCCCTTTTTCTCACAATCGCTTTGTTTCTGACCTGACCGTTTTCGCCGCACACCACGTGGAAAAGGGTAACGCGGCTATTGCACACGTAATTAATGACTCACCCGTTCCGCGACGGCTGCGTTTGATGAAAACCTTGTGGAAAGTTCGCGGCGCGCGTTACTTCGCGCTGGCGTCTCGTCGTTTGGCACGGTACCTTTGTCTCACGCGCGCACGCGGGGCTTTACGGGTGTGGAGCGGTTGCGACACCGGGTTGACGGTCGGACTTCGAATTTGTCACCAAAAAATATAAATATATAAGAAAATACTACATCCACCTATGGTCATGGCTGCCAACTGGACCACTGGAAACCCAAGTGTGTGAATGTCGCACACTTGCAGGTGTGTAAACACCCATTCGTACACTTACGGGGGTAAACGTGTGAATTTTTCCTAGAAAATTCACACGTTAACCCCCCTTAGTCTACGAATAAACATTCACACACCTGCAAGTGTGCGACATTCACACACTTGCGTTTCCAGTGGGTCGGACTTTAATTCAAATTCAATAAAATAGAAATTTATTTAAATGTGACAATTAAAAATATAAATATATAAGAAAATACACCTGGGTTGCCGTAGGAGACACCTCGGCCGGTGACGCCGGTCGGTGTGGCCCGCCACACTGCGGGTGGACAAAGGGAGGCGCTCTTTCTTTGCGCTGCTCGCCAAGTAATTGCGGTGAGATGCAAATATACGGAATTAATTAATCATGGAAATGAAAGCCATCGGGTGGCGGGCGCACCTCAGAGGGAGCGAACAAAGGAGTATGGAGGAGAGGGGTGCAGACGCGCGCGCTCCAACAAGCCCTGCGTGGTGGTGGTGGGTGTCCTCTCCTACCAAAAACTTATGTACTGCAAACAGTATCTTGTGCTACGCAACGCCACGCCCTGCAGCGCACAGGTCCCAGTCGCCTCGTTCGGAGTCGCGTGCGGGTCACTGTCGTGAGGGTGGGAGGTAGTGAGTGAGTGGACGAGCGTAGCGCGGCCTGGCCCCCATCTTGGGTCAGCAGCCCAGTCAAGTCCGGAGGGGTCCTGGGACCGGCTATTTCGGTACGACCCATCCCCACAGCGCCACTCGCCACTGGGTGCGACACCACCAGCACCGGGGCTACCAACCACCATCACTTTCACCTCCCGAACCACCCCTCACCCCTACCACGAAGCACTCGGCACCGACGAAAAGTTTGCGCTCCTAACCAAACAGACTTTGCACTCTGGCCGCAGCACAGCAAGGAACGGTCGAGAGACTTCGGTTAAAATTACCCTTTGAAATGTTGCTGCTACTTTTTGCTACGGCTACGCCCCTCCTTCCCGGCGCCCCCTTTCTCTTGCAAGTTTGAACCCCTCGGTGTGACGTCGTCTTTCCCCGTCGGCGCTTTGCCGGCGGTCGTGTTGCGTGAGACGGCGACGGGGGCGTTGGGCGTTGCCGGGTCACCGAACCATCCACAGGTGGTGGTGTTTCTCCGGCGAAATCGTGTAATGCAAAACAAACACCTGCAGAGCACCAATGGGACCATGAATAAGAACAGCCAAGTGGCTGGGGCGCCAGGAGGTCTTTCGTGGTGGGGCGGGCGCGCGTGATCGTGGAGTTTCCCTCAAGAGGAAGAGACACAAAAGCTTTACGGCCGTGTTATACAAAGATTACATTTATACCCGCGGCACATCTTCGTGGTCTTCTTTCTTTACTACATGCAACAAAGTGTGAAAGACTTTTTACTCTCTACCAGGCAGACCGCGCGCCGTCACGCCACCGCTGCACTCTGTCGGGGCTTTCTGGCATGGTCGGGGGGACTTCTTTAGCCCTGTGGGCTCATATATTTTAAATTGTGCAATGTGAATACATTGTATACTTAAAATAAACTGTACATGGCATATGTATTCTGTTATCAATGCCACATGGCGTTTACGCTTTTAGAAATGCGTAAAAATGGCAGTATACTAACTTCAGTAAGTGCAGTCTTTACACAGAGTACATGGGTATGTATTCATTTATGAAAGCGTACTTTGACATGCATACATTATAATTAAAGTATACATGCTATGTTCACTTTATATAAAGTAGCCAATTTAAACATTTTAATTGACAGAGTTGCCTAAGCTAGGGAAAGATAGGATGAGACCCACTCAGCCTATAATAGACTTGCAGGTGTGGCGCTCAGCACCAGAAGCTCACACAGGTGTGCGCTTTTCCGCGCGGCCGGACCTTTCGTGGAACGTTTGTAACCTCTGGTTGTATCCGAAAAATTGCCCCGTCATTTCACATGGGGGCGGGGAGGACTCGTTGTTTTGCGATGGGCCCGAGGTAGTTGCGCAAGGTGAGAAAGTTAGTGAGGGGATGATGAGGTCATTTGATAACAAAACCAACTACGTAAATCCGTGTTGAGAGGTCTATTTTGCTCGCGTTCGACGTGACACCGAACCATCCAAACTCCTTCCTTGTGGATAATTTCGTTAATTTTGTTTGTAACTATCAGCGTATTTGGGCAATGATAAGGAACAAATGTGCTAACCAAACAAGATATCAACAAAAATGTAGATAATTAATAAGAAAATAGTGTATACCTTATCATTGCACAAATACGTTGATAGTTATCAAAGCTAGAAGAATGAGTGTGCACAGGTGGTGGTCTGATATGACGTCATTCTAAGATAAGTGAAATCCAAACTGAATCTTGCTCGCTCATGCACGGTGAAAACAGTTCATTGAAGTTCAAGGACCAAAACGCCGATTCAAAGACGCCATACGTGTTTTTCCTTACCTCCGTCCTTGAATCACAATGGGACAAAAGTAATACCTTTCCAGCGGCAATGCAGTCATTGCCATTCCAAAGGCAATGAGCGAAAATTGTTTTCTAAAGTCTCCCTCCTACTCAATGGCAATCCGAACTTTGCCGCACTGTCGGCAATGAAGGTTCATCGCCACATTTTGGCAATGTAGTTTTCATCGCCGATATTTTGGCTAGTTATTTACCCCTTGCCCACGAATCAGGTCCTGCTTTATTTATTGTGGTCCTGGTTCACGCTACTCGATGAGCCATCAGACGTGTGACCGCCATCCTTGGCCTGTCGTTCTTCTCCTCGTCGCCCCCTCCCTCCCCC